GAAGCTGGGGCGGTCCGTCCGCTTTGGAGGATTTGCGCTGCTCAGCGGACAAAACGGAGTACCAGAGAGAGAAAGGAGCACAGAAGCACAGCCACAGGAGACAGGAGGACACATAACAAAAGATCAGCTGGGCAAGCCCGCTTTGCGAAATTTCGGCGGCTCTCTTACCAAGGCGGGCCACCTGAAACAGCAAGGAGCACCGCCAAGCAAACCAGGACTGGGAGAGCTGGGGAGGTCCGTTTTGCAAGATTTGGGCCGCTGAGCGGCCAAAACGGACAGCCAAAAAGAGCAAGGAGCACAGCTAAGCAGATGAAGTGCAGACAAGCTAGGAAGGTCCGTTTTGATGGACTTGGGCAGCTGAGCGGGCAAAACGGACCACCGGACGGAGCAAGGAGCACAGAATCAGAGCCACGGGAAAAGGACCAGACCAGCTAGGCAAGCCCGCTTTGGCAAAACCAAAGGAACGCAAAGTCGATGTCACCAAGCCCAACACGCGCCACGCAAGGAGACATTGATGGCACAAAGTGCCACGCCTGCCACGCAAAACCCCACCTCGCGTCACAAAGGAGGGACCGCGTCACAGTTGAGGAAACGCGTCCGCGTCACAGATGAGGAAGATTTCCGCGTCACAGACGAGGGGCTTTCCCTCTGTCAATGTTCCAAAGATGGAAGTGGAGAAAGCAAATTGCTATCAAAGCCAGCAATCCCGCATCGAGAAAGAAAGGACAAAGTGACAACTGTAATTACCGGCAAACACAAGCTAAATAAAGCAAAAGAACTACGTGTAAACATTTTCAAACCCAAGATTTTATGTCCAATAACTCCTTCCCCCATACAAGTTTACCCAAGTCAGTAGGAGTGATGTCTCAGTGCGTGTAGACAGTGGACGCTGCTACGATTCCCTGAAATTTACAGGAAACCTCTTGACAAGAACTTGAGTATACCTGGCAGTATATTTCTGGAAAATTACCCTCTGGTATGTTAGTTTACCAGAGGGTATTTGGAATTGATGTTGGCAGTGGGCTAGAGTTTGGCGAGGTACATGTTGTCGAATTGGACTGCTCCGGAGAAAACCCAAAGCATCCAAAAAGTCCTGGAAGTGCGGTCGTGCCGCCATGCCAGAAACAAAACTTGACACAACTTAGACCATGTGTCGTAAAATCACACGGAGCATTGGAAGTCAGAGGTCAAGAGTCAGAGAAGCATGGCAAATGGATGCAATTGGATGCAAATGCTTCATAGCGAATTCTTTCGCAGCTTGTTGCTTTCGATGTTGCGAGAACGCTTTCGATGTTGCGTCCTCCCAAGACTCGGCAATGCGTTCAGGGCTGTAAACAATGCCTGCTTTCCCGAAGGTGGGATCGCACAGGCTCCGCCTCAGAGCGAAAACGGATGAAACGGGATGCCTCAAGGTGCCAGTTCTACAGGTGACCACAGTATGAGTCTTAGAAAGGCGAGCCAGTCCTCACACAAAACACACTTGACACACAAAGAGATTCAAGAATCTCTCCAACTCAGGGGTTGCTGACAAGCAAATATGCTCTAAAACTATGTAAAACTTGCAAGTATGATGAGTATCGCACTACTTCAACAAAATTATATCTACATGTGGGCATATCGATTGCGCACATTGCACCCATCACGAAACTGTGATAAAATCATTGAAGTGGTTGAGATGCCATGAGTGAGAGTTCTCCTGGTTTCAAGCCAAGGGCAAACAGAAGAACAAGAGCAGATGCGCTACAAAACATTACAAAACCATACTATGTATGTAGTTATGAATAGCTTCCCCTTGAAATCCTATGAAACCGTCAACGTCTACTTGAGATTCCCCACTGTCGCTTCCTTTCCTGGTACCAGCCTAAGATTTGATGGGGCGCCAGGGTGAGCTGAAAGTTCAACTCTGAACGACAGTAACGACAGTGCAGAAAACATCAAAAAAAACACAGAAACAAAAAACACACAGAGTAATCAACATACTTCAAAACATACAACAAATACAATAACTTGTCACAAATTGAAACAACTTTGGGCATTGCAGCGCTTTCACACTTGGACCTTTTTGATCAAAGCGTTGAGGTTCTCGGCTCAACCAATACACTTTGACCTCATTCTTTCGGAAGCCTTTCAGCTGCACTTCCCATGGCAAGGTTTCCTCAGTTCACCAACCATGTTGAGCAGGTTTGTAAGATTGTACAGAAATCATATCACATCACATAAAACATCATATCATATATATATAAACATATCATATATAGCATATGATCCAATATTATTCAATCTTTAGATATACTCTTTGCAGATTCTGATGGTGACAGCTTTGACAGCACAACCATTTTCCATTCAACAACATCACAGGATCTTCAAGGGCAAGCTCTTCCCCATCCTTTCTTTGTCTTAAAACATGAACACAGCATCCAGTTTTTCGTGTCTTTTCCGTTTCATGTTTGTTTCATATTCACCATGTTCCACATCTGCCAGAGATCTACTCGCCAATGCTCCTGAGCATGCGCTAAGAAAGCATCGTAGGCACCCCAGCGGTTCAAAGCCGTGTCAAAAGCCACAAGGCATTCAGTGCTGGGACCAGAAAGTTCTAGTAGAGCATCTACAAAGGGCTCTACATTCTCCTCAAAAATCCAAACACGTCAGGTCATGAGATAAACACGTGCGAAAAGGATCAAAAAGTCATGAAGATTTCAGACCATGATGGTTTTGCATACTTTTGTTAAAAGAAGCTCCAATCAAATCATGATCAGATGGGATCGCAACACGCAATGTGGATGGATTGAAGTGACCCCTCTAAACTCGGGTCCATGAGTTTGAGACAATTCCGCATTCTGTTTCCAGTGTTTCACACGATAGCAAGATCTTTAAAAATCTTCAAAGTCTGGCTTCACAAGTTTTATGATCTATCGGAATCTATCGGATCAGGAATTTGATGATCTTCATATGATCTTTATATGATCATATCGGATCTATGATCTTCTATCTATCAGGATATTTATATGATCTTTATATGATCTTTATCTACGTCTTGCTGTTGATTCCCATTCCCATTGGCGCAGGCGGTCCGTGTCGTAGAGGCAGTCTGCAGCCAGGATCAAGCCCGAGGGTCGTGGCAATGCAGTGCTTTCGCCCCATTGGTATGCCGTGGCGCGGACGAAAGATCCAGGTCTCCCCGGTGACAAGTCTGCGTCTGCGCTGTCTGCGATGTCTGCGATGTTCGAATCGATATTGTGCTGAAGATGTGGGACAACGTCAGGTAGGTCAGTAAGATAGCCTCAAGAATAGAGAAAGAGAGAAAATTGCCTCACAATAAGCTCTGCAGGTTTCTTGAGAAAGTTGGATGTTGGAAGATGTTGGAAGGTTGCCACAGGTTGCCACATGCCATTCCGAACCCTTCCCGGGACCCGAGGAGCAGTGGCATTGGAGAAGTTTTGCTGCCATAAGTCCCACCAGCCCAGTCTCTCCAGCGCCCAGCTCAATGACACCACCACCACCACCTGCTGCTGCAAGGCGACGCCAAAATGCAGCGCCATCGAAATCGCCACCGCTGCCAGCCACATTGGCCACATTGGCCACATTGGACACATTGGACACATTGGCCAGGATGCCTTCGGGTCACGAACAAATGAGAAGAAATTTTGAACCCTTCACCTGCTTTTGGTTCAAAAGTCAAATGAAAAAGGGGAATCCGATGACCAGCACTAAGAACCAAACAGCACCGCTAGGATCAAAAAGGACGGTCCAAGTATGGCCAATTTGATTGTGGAAATTCTTGGAGCATGTTACGCATCTCTCCTTGAGCATTCACTGCAACACCTGTAGCTATTAATTCAAGTTAATTCACGCTACGCATCTACATTCCGTTACATCCCTGTTCCTATCTTAACCTATCAACTCTTGCTGATTCTCCACTCTGAAAACTCTCCCTCTCCTGCAAGAACCACCGAAGCATCCCAGGCCATACAACCCGTGCGACGGGTGCACTCAGTGGGGCTCTTCGAAAGCTCTGCAGGCTCCAAGCGGATGAACTGTTCAGGGCGCTGTGCCAAACGAAAGAAGAGACCTGCGTCAAATGCCAACTCACAGTCAAACACGGCATTGCCGACTCACTGCCAACGGCCGATGCACTGCCGACGCACTGCCGACCCACAAGACTCTCTATAGTCTCTGTATGTCTCTGTAGTCTCTATAGACTCAGTCTCTATAGTGTCTTTGTGGTCTGCGTAATATCTCTGTGTCCAGCTGAAAGTGGCGTCAGTATCCACGGCAGAGAACGTTAACAATCAAATCGCTCTGACAATAAACCAGTCATCAGAGTCACATCCATTCGCACCTTTCAACTGCTTAAACTCAAAAAAAAAACTGCACATGGCGGCCTGGGCCAAAGTCCAATTCCAACTGATTGGTCGGTTCAACCAAAGTCTCTTCAAACAGTGGCCGCAGTGTCAAGACCTCTTCCTCTTCCATTGCACCGGAGTCAGAGCGAAGACATTGACACAGGCACCTTCCTACACTGCACTACATCTGTCAATGTATGTGAACCATCGAATGCACCTAAGAAATCCTGAGCTTGCATAGCGCTCGGCATGAATGAGCTGCGCAAAATAGAAGATGCTTTAATCTTGCAGTGCCAAGATAACAAAGCAGCCGGATGCAACCGAACAGAATTGTCAATAATATGTCAACATTGTCAATATATTTCATGTTTTTTCCATGGTTTTTTGATGTTCAAGGCATCTCATTGTCGCTTTCGTTGAACTCAGCGACAGCTCCATGACACGGAATTCTGCACATCCCAAGCCATTTCAGCGTCTTCCCAAAGCCGGAAGAAACAACAAGAACAATAGTTGCACACAGGGACAAAGTCTCTATTCATGGAAAACAAAACCTCGATTTCACTCACGGAAAGACCTACAACTGTTTTGAATATAGAGAACTAAAAATGGGTGTAGTCTTGCAACAAACGAAACAATGAAGAATTGCCTGCGCAACCCATGCTTCATGCAGCAACTGTTCAAGATCAAAAATTCTAATTGCGAATTGTTTCTGTCTGTGGCTTATAGTGGAAAGTAAGGAAACAGCAATGCGCATTCCCGAAAATCAACAGCAAAGCAAAGAATCCAGGCAAAATGACGGGCACTACCCAACCTCTGTGGCAAGTGTCAAGCAATCACCAACACAAACACTAGTCTGAGGTGGAAATTTTGAGGAAACAACCCAAAGACACAAATCAAAAATCCTCAATGTTTCAAAATGACCACCCGGACCGTTAGCGTCGTTGACCTGAAGAAATGTTTCGTACCGATTCTGCACATCGCTGGATTCTCTGAGAAACGGACGCAGGAATTTCACGCTGAGCCAGGTCCCTTTTGCCAAACACAGCAGCAGGAGGCCCTCAGTGAAACAAATGCTGAGGGCCTGTGAGGCACAGAACGAAAATGAGAAAACTACCATAAAGTACCCAGTGAACGGAAGAAACATGGTTATGTAAAATTGGTTGACGACATGTTGAGAGAGATTGATCAAGATTTTCTGGATTAGAAGGGGGCCAAGTTACAGTCAAAAGGTTCGAATGTGTCTGGTTTATTAAATTTGGTTGGTTCTATTCTGCCAATTCCGATCTTGAATTCGTTGATTGCACTTTTTTTTTTTGGCACAAAAAAATGAAACAATGAATCATTCAGAAAACAACAACACACACACAGAGACAAACAGACAGACAGACAGACAGACAGACAGACAAACAAACAAAAATGCGCATAATTGCAATTGAGAAATTGAACCCAAACCATTGCATACCAATTTTCCGAGCGTCAATTAGCGCTGTTCTGCGCCTGGCAGATTCAAGATTCATAAGATTGACCTGGACGCACCTTGCAATTCGGTTGCATGTAGATCCCTCTGTGCAAAATGTTTGCCAAAACATGTTGTAACATGCATCTGGCCACCTGGAACGAAATGTACTCAACCACATGAACCTTAGAGCAAACGGAAACTCCGCAAAGGATCGAATGGCCGCAACACATCAGTTGCATGACACCGGGTATTTTCCTGAGCGCCCGTGCCAAATATCGGCATATCCCACAAATGGGACACGTGACAGCAAACGCCACTAATGGGAGCACGATTAAGTTCAATCACAAACACATAACAACATGAAAATAGAAATTTCACAAGAACCATTGGGTTGAACTTGTACACTCAATGAGAAAGGCATGCAAACGAGGATCCAGTGCGAATGTTGTCGGATTACGTTGGCATGATTTCAAACCACACGATCAGCTGAACTATGTGCTTTTGGTTGTCCTTCTGCCGAACATCATGAACCTCTTGAAATTTGGGAAACCGTTGCAAAAAAAAAAGTATATAAACGAAGGAAAATACCAAATCCCACGATGCACTGAGGTGTTCATGCCGCCAATACTTTGAGTTTTTGAAACGTTCAAATCAAATTGTCGCACATCACATCGATGATTTTTTTAAATACCTGTGGCCCATATGTTTACAGTTTTCCATGGCCCTCTACTTTCGTCAAGAAATAAAAAGACCGTTTCCCACAAGGACAAATCATGGCCATTTCCCTCGGCCAACCTTGTAGGCACAATTTCATTGCGCATGTCGGCGCATGTTTGTTTTCATAATTCAATATAACTATTTATCTGTCTTGCAACCGCTGGCAGTGAATCTGAAAGAATGCACAAGTGGCAAGAATGAAACTGAATGCATGCGACAAGTACAAGAGTGAAGCTGAATGCAATGCAACAAGTTGACAACGCTGACGCAAACAATCAGAACTCACTTCTTTTCTGTTGGGGATGCACTGGTGACCTGTTCGTCAGGCCCAGGGTTTGGCCAAGCCCACATGTCTTTTGACATGTTAAACGTCAAACAAATGTCGATGAAGTAGACGTCAAGCCAAGCAAAAAGGAGTGCAGTCAACTTGCCAGAAAGGGTGGCTGAGGGAGGGGCAAGTTGAAAGCACTCCACAAGAAAAAAAGGATGTGTCATGAGTCTGCAGTTACCTTTGACAATGATGGACCTTGAACATTGCAACATGTATCATCTGACGGGCTAAGTTTGTGCCGGGCTCACAACATTTAACTTTGCCACAGCGCTCGCTGCACGTTCAACGTGTGCAGCACAGAAAAAAGAGCGCTGGATCATGCAGAGTGTATCATCTGAAATATTCCATTGAACTCTGAGCCTGCCAGCTGCCACGCATCCGTGTCTTGCTCTGCCAAATAATTCGCTATCATGATGTGACAGCTTGCTTATCTGTCTTGCAACCGCTGGCAGTGAATCTGAAAGAATGCACAAGTGGCAAGAATGAAACTGAATGCATGCGACAAGTACAAGAGTGAAGCTGAATGCAATGCAACAAGTTGACAACGCTGACGCAAGCAATCAGAACTCACTTCTTTTCTGTTGGGGATGCACTGGTGACCTGTTCGTCTCCCCACTTTTCGGCCCTGGTGACCAGTGCATCCCAACAGTCGCTCAAGTTCAGTTCAGACTGCTGCGCACCAAGCTCTTGCAGTTGTCTGATTGACAGACGTGATGGGTTGTCTGCCAAATTTGAATCTGTGGCATACCAGGGTGCAAGATAATATTCACTTTCAATCGACAAAGCTGCTACCAACACTCTCCTGGCCACAACATTTGAAGTATGACATGAGATCATGGCATCTCGAACTGCATTATTGTCAGTGTAAACAACCAAAGCACTATTGACCAAGCTGGCCCACAAAAACAAGGCACTGAAAAGTGCGAAGAATTCACATTCATATATCCCTGTTTTCTTTCCACCAGGGTTCAAACGTGCGATCATCTGCGCATCAAGTTTGCGCGAGAAGAACTTGACAGGGGTACCATCGGGTGAGAAGAGCACACCACCAATGCCAGCGAAAATCCCTTCATCAACAGGCTCAAAGCAAGCATCTGTTTGTATAAACCAGACCTGATCACATGTTGGTCGAAGCTCCCTCGGACGTCCGCTTTCCAAAAACTTCCGGTGAAGCTGCAACGCCAGTGCAGTCCTGCTGTCCAGAACTTTAGAGCCAATCCCATACGCATGAGCTGACACCGCCGCCAATGCAGCCTTGGCCACGCGGCCGAACAAGTTCCTTGCAGCAAACTGGAGGCGCCCACGAAGTTTCAAAGCTTTGCCGTGAGGATGTTGTCAAGTGTTTGTAAGAGCTCCTCACGCCGATGATCTGTGTTCCCAACTGTCCCCAAACCTTCATTCAAGCGGCTTACATTTATCGTGACGCCCAAAGCAGGCGCCTTAGGGCCCTCTTGTGCAAAGGCCCAGCCAACAAGTTTGAAAAACATGTGAATGCAAGCCGTCAAAGAAGCTGCTTCTGTATCATGTCCCAAAGTGATAAAATCGTCAAAATAATTTGTTGTCAACACCAGAAACTCCTTGACCATCAAGAACCAAAGGCTTGTTGACACACGAAGGAAAGAGTGTACTGACTTCACAGATCCAAATGGAAGCGCCCTCATCCGGAACGCCAGGACATCTCGCGAGACAGGGTGTCTCACTGCTATGTGTGCAAACTGTCGTGAACTTGGATGGATTGCACATTGTCTGTAGGCCCCAACCAAATCAAAGGTGCGCCCGACCCAGCGGTGACCACCCTGGCACATTGTCATCACGTAGGCGCACAGAGCTGCGTACACGTCCAACGTGTGGGGCTTCGGGCTTTCGCAAGTCTGCACTGCACTGTTTACGCTGGATCTTGAGTAGTCGTCAATGCAACGGATCTTTGATCCTTGAGCTATCCCAAATCTTCTAGACAGTGGGCACTCCGGGGGTACCTCATGTAGGGGCAAGGGCCCCACCAAGATGCCAGCCTCCACTTCCTCAAGGGTCTTGGACCAGACCTCATCCAAAAACTGCTCCTGAATGCCATCACCAAACTGTTGGGTAAAAAGATGTCTCTCCTTGACCGCAATGTCTTTCAACTCTTCAACGCCAATTGTGGCTGGCTGGAATTTCTGCGGCCACAACCCTGTCTTCGCCACGCACCCAACCAACTCTGTGCCTTGACAAAATTCAGTTACCACGTCCATGTCAGAGTATTGCATCGCTGACAACATGTCCTTCCAAAGAAGGATGTTTTTGGGCTGCAAGATCCGGGCAACATCAGCATCCATTGACCGTTTCAGTTTCGCCTCATCGTCTTTGAGCTCGCACAGCCGCCTCAACCAGAAACCCAACTTGTTTGCCCGGTATGCCATCCTCTCATGAACATCCATGGTCTGATATAGTTCCACTGCTTCACGCAAGACTTCAGGCAAGCAAGACCTAAGCGTCATAGGATGTCCAAACTTCACCATTTGCTCAACAAACTGCTGTTCACTCCACGGAACCCCCCACACCTGAGTTTCAGTCACACCCTCCTTGGTGTTAAAGGTCGTGGAGTTGTTGCACAAGGTTGCAACTCTGTCAATTTCATCTTGTTGCCACTGCTGACCAGAGACAAACGCCCCCCGCTGCAGACATTCGGAGGGAGCAGTGCACTCATGGTGTGCAGGAGTTTGGCACCTTTGGGCAAAACGGTGGGAGCATTGTATGCGTCAACCTGCATGTCCGTGGACGCTTTGTACCCAACATCGACTTGGGGCAAGTCAGTGCGAAATGCAGTAATGGCTACCTTTGCTGCGTAGGTAGGGATCAAGGGCGGCAGTCGGGAAGCTTTAGACTGGACGCCAGTTTGGGCACGTAGCGCTGGAAGATTTGTGGTATCACCCTGAGAAATTTCATTCAGTGTCTCAGGGGGCATCTTGATGCCTCTTCGCTGTAAAGCCAATACAAATTGTAAAGCCATGAGCCTAGCCAACTTCAGAGGGTAGGCTGCTTCCATCGCTGTCGCAATCGTTTGCGTCGTCTCTGAGATGCCCCACTTCTCATGCCGGTGTGAAGGTGTAACACCGGTACACATCTTATTTATTGTCAAAAATACTTCAGCATTGAAACCAAGCATTGTCCTCTTGGGCCGCAGGCTCCCATATTCACAAGATTGAAAAACAGTGAATTGCATTATAGGTCCACCACTGCCTGAATAAACGTTGTTTGCCAGAAAAAATTGAACTGCGGATTCTCAACACAAAAAATGCAATCTGTTTCAATTGCCCATCTGATCAACTGTGCCGTGAGGTGATACAACTTGTTCGCCTTGGAGATTTTTGCACAATCCACAAAGCTGAGAGAAGGCAACCCATTCGGGTGTCTGTTTGACCTCAAAAGTTTGGGAGGTTCTGGATCGCCTGGACGCTTGCGCTTCATCGGAATGGATCGCGCCCTTGAGGCGCTGCCGCAAGGCGGTGCCAGGAAGATCCCGACTACATTGGGATTCTCAAGCCACTGCATCAACAACTTGACACCTGACTCTGTTGATAAATCGGCCAGCACAATCGGGGCGACAGCTTGTTTATGTCGAGCACAATCAGTTCCTAACGAACTGTATAAGCCCAGCTGTTTCAACGCAGCGGTCACCCGTCCCGTGCCAGCAAAAACTTCTATAATGAGACACTCGTTCAGGCCCACACCAGCTTCAACCAACGAGCTGATGCGACCTGTGCCATGTCATTTCTTCTTTCCATCATGATCTTTCTCGGGATGCGGGGCATGGCATCCACGGCGAGCGCACAAATGCCAACCGCGTGCGCACTCACCTCCATCGGGTGTCTCGCCGCATTTCCCCAACTGATAATTGAAGCACAAGCGCCTCCCATGTGTATCCATGTTGGTGTTGTCACGTCCCAACAAAAACTTGGGCAACACAGACTTGCCACTTTTGCCTTTCCCTTTTCCATGTGCTCCTCCTCCTCCTTTGCCCTTGTAAGGCTGCGACCTGTTGCTAGGCCACTGGTTCCCCTTGCCACCTTGATAGTTCGAGTGGCTTGGAGGAGCTGCAGGGCTCGATGCATCCGTTCTGTGTCCAGATTTGGGCAATGGTAAAAGGTGGAACCCAACCTCGTACGCTTGCAAGGCCACAAAGATCTTCTCATCAAGCTCCAGTGTATTGTTGACCTGTCTCTTCAAATCGACTCCTGTACGAATCAGATACAGGAACACTTGTCTGTCGGCCTTCAGCACTTGTGGGAGGCTAGGACGCATGAAGTTTGGTGGTGGCTCAGTTCTAAGGTGGGAAGTGAGCTGTTGCAGATACCGCTCGTGCGCTTCCCATGACATCATGTCAGCAAAGGCCAAAGCGACCCCTCTGCGCCTGAGCGCTTCGAACGCTTGGAGCTCTGAGCTGTAGAACTGGTCTGGTGTGTCGGCCTTCTCTTTGATGACCAACTTTTCAGCATCCAAAGTGAGCTGTTTCTTGTTCTTGCCCATTGTTATCTCCCATTCTCTGGATGTACAACGCTCCAACTGCACAAAGTTCACCTGATTTGACTCTTTCTGTTGCATCATAGCTTCAAGAAGCTCATGTGAAGGTTCGAGCTGCTGTTCAAGGACGACTCCAACAAGTCGTTGACGCAGCTGCTGCATGCGGTGTTCACGCTCAACCGCCGGCAGCTTCCTGGTCTGAGCTGCATTGGGGTCAGTCACAAGTTCTCTGAGCTGCCCCAAAACCAAAGTGTGGCCTTCAAAGACCAACCTTTTCAACACTGCAGTGTCAGCCTGGTTGTGCAAGGCACCAAGCGTGTTCTGTGCAAACGCTGCGAACTCATTTGCATCCAAGGGATGACCTGGCTGGCCAATTGAGAATGCCAGCTTTCCCATCGTATCCAAATTGTTCTGGGCCAAATGGTTGGTGGCCCTCTCTGTCATTCCCATGTCTGAGCATCGCTTCCAGAAATGTGCTCGCGAGTCAACAATTGATGTCAGTGAAAACCCTGAACAAATCAAATGAGTACCTCAAGTCAAAATCTGATGTGGTGACTCCGGAAAATTGGAAAATGAAAACACAGCGCGTGGGTGACAAAACATGTTGCATTGAGATTCCGTTTGCACACGTGCTGACATCCAGCATACCTACAAGCTCAGCACATCGCTGCAGAGAATCCACACATTGTGGTTGATGCACATTGCATCCAGTAAGGCACATTGCCCAGCGGCCACATTGGCCAAATAAACGAAAACATGCAGGATGACATCCATCTAAAAAAAACTAAAGACCGTGAACATGTGCAAACAGATTCACCAATCCGGCCACATCTGATCACATGCATCCAATGAGCAAGACGCTTCACATCTAACAAGGTCACATCACTCTGACATCACGGAGTGTTCACTGCGTCTCACTGCAATCATTTCTTTTTCCGCATGGCTCTGGCTCGGTGAAACACTCAGCAATGAGACCTGTGACACAAAGATTACTTCGACACGTTGGGGTCTCGGAGACCTTTGAAGCATACTCTGCACTTTGCTGTCCAGTCAAAATGACCATTGACAAACATGAAGCTCTTGGAGATCATCCTGCCACACATCGTGACAGACCCTGTCATCAACTTCTCAAAGTCCTCCTGGCTGCTAAGGGGGTTAGGCACTCGGTTCCTGCATTCGTGAACCACCTTTGTCTTCTGATTCCTTGCCACCACCGCTACTCCTTCTTCGACTGGGAGCGGCTTCACAACATCCAAGTTCTCCTCATCAGAGTCCAAGTCAATCGCATCATCATCGTCGGTTGACCCCTGCAGACTACTGCTCTCCGAGCTGTCCTGCTCTGACTCTGAAGACAGCTCAATCACCACATTCGCAACACCAGTTCCTGCAAGTTTCCAGCTGCACTCAGACTTGACATCTCCATCCAAGTGAGCCAAAGTCTCTGCTGTGGCCCGCTGTCCACTGCCCGTCATTGGTGTCACTGCCGTGGGCACAGGTGTCGTCGGTTGGCTGTGTTCCAGAAAAGCTGGGGTGAACGGCTGCATCACAACATGCGCCGGTGTACCAGCTGTCGGCCCAACGGCTGTCGGGAAGTAGTTCGACCTCAAAGCATCCGGCTGAAAAGTGCCTGCCCTAATCATCTGAATGACCTTCTGCAGCGCATTCACAGGACCAATGCTCATATCTCTGCTGTAATATGAATCCGCACACTGCACAGTTGATGAATGGCGCCCAAGAATCCTGCGATGCTCTCTGGGCACCTCTGCCTTCGACGCCCAACTCAATGTCGTCGCTTTCAAGCTGTGACTCGACAGGGCCGGGTCTTCACACTGCAAAAATCCCTTGAGGATGTTTGTAACTTCACCCGGCGACAAAGGTCTCTTCAACCAGCTAACCCTGTCACCCATGCAAGGCGCAGGCATCAAGGCGCCCTGTACCAGCCCTGATGTCGGAAGGCCGCATGACTTCCTGTTCGAGATCCAAGAGTGAATCCAAGGCATGTCAACTACCCCGGCACTTGACATCACGATAGGAAGTAGAAGAGCTTTCTGCTGTGCAGTCCGTGCAGACTTGTGATACCTCGTTGAAATCTCAATGAAACCTGAACTCCCTGAGACATCATGGAGAATCTCGTGAATGTAGTTCACATCCGATACCCTGCACCGACCATACGTTGCAAGCAGTAAGTTCGAGGCAATGCATCGGTCTACAGGTGAGTGACCTGACCCATCTGCAATCGCGTGGAGTGCTTTCACCTCGAGTACAGTCAAAGGCCTGGCTTGGCGTGTTGGAGCTTTTGCAGAAAGTTGTAACTGCGACTGCCCAATGATTCGTCGTGAGCTAGCGCAAGTCAATGCATTGTCAAAACCCATCACATAGTGAGCAAATCTGAGAGCTTGGACGAGCGACTGAGATCTGGACGCGGCACTGAAAGTTGTAGTTTGGTACAACACGTAGCGCCAAACGTCATTTTCATCAAATGGCAACCAGTCACTGCTACTATGTACTGCATGCCATCTGTAATACATCATCAAAGCAGATGCACGTTTCAGCACAGTGTTGGGAGACTTGACTCCCATAACTGAGGTCAACACCAAATCAGTTTGGGCGTCATCTGCCCCATCCAGCTGCCGACCCACTTCTGAAAATTGTGGATCAATTATCACCAAAAACTTCCACTTTGCAAGTGCGCTGTTCCTCGTACGATCCCTCTGCTGCAAATAAGTTTCATCAGACCTGTGAACAACATACTGAGCACACGACCACCTGCACTGAGAAGGAATGACTGGCTGAGTGACGCCAGCTTCAGTTGACTCAAGCAAAGGCAGGTCAGAGGTCCCCCAGTCCAGTGGCATGTGAAGACTCATGGGCGGCCTATCATCTCCAAAAATCTGACGCATCAACGGTGTCTCCCAAGGCATGGTAACACCGGCTAGTTTTGCACCACGAATAAACTGGTCAGAAACAGCAGCATTGTCATCATCAAAAGTGCTAACCCTTCCTATAACAGGAGCAACATTGACAGATGGTGCAATTGAAGGCTCATACCCACTGAAGTCATCTGCAGGTGGCTGCAAAGGCTCAGAACCAAGCTCCGGGCTGTCAAGCGGTTGAAAAAGATCAACACCAGGCACACTTCCAGGTTGAATCACATGACTGCTACTTGAATCATGCTGTTCCGGCTGATCAACAATGATTTCGTCATCAAAATGATGTGAGTCCTTTCCAGTGTCCAAAGCAGTGCCAGTTGAGGTCCGCTGCCATTTCCGCCTGAGACCCTTAAGGCCAGGCTCACATGCTTCCACATCCATGGCTCGAAAACCCCCCGGCAAGTTGAAAGCACTCCACAAGAATAAAAAGGATGTGTCATGAATCTGCAGTTACCTTTGACAATGATGGACCTTGAACATTGCAACATGTATCATCTGACGGGCTAAGTTTGTGCCGGGCTCACAACATTTAACTTTGCCATAGCGCTCGCTGCACGTTCAACGTGTGCAGCACAGAAAAAAGAGCGCTGGATCATGCGGAGTGTATCATCTGAAATATTCCATTGAACTCTGAGCCTGCCAGCTGCCACGCATCTGTGTCTTGCTCTGCCAGATAATTCGCTATCATGATGTGACAGCTTGCATAATTCTCAATAGTTGGCTGCTCTTTTGCTTGGACTTGAACCACAATTCGTGGTGCGTCATCCTCGCACAGCTTCAGCTGAACATTACAGAGATAAGAACAGACACTACGTGACCTGGGTGAGCGCAGTAGTGGAGAGAAGTCTTACCCCCCCCCACTTTGCCAAAAGATTTTGCACTTTACAAATTTTAGTACTTGGACGCATCTCACCCGATTAATTTTTACAGATTCCACAGGTCCACCGGCAGTTGTTATTGGAAAAACTTTGTGTCAGGACCCTTTTACAAATGCAACGTCACCATAACACAACTACGCCTCACAATTCAAGGCATTAACAACGAGTGTGCATGTACATACATTGCACCAGCATAAACCTCGCCACAGATAGCAATGAGATTGTTCATGTCAGTTTTCAAATTCGCATTTTTTGTCCATCATGAAGGTAGACAAGATTAGGAAACAAAGCAGCACGGGGAGCGACGGCAACGATCATGCAACGACACAAGACTGAGAGACAAAGCAGTAGCAGCAGCATGCAGCGAAGACAAGGCTGGGAAGCAAGGCAGGCGTTGGATAGCGGCGTGGATCTGGCTGTTGACGTTCCACTCAAACAAGGATGTAACAAGGTTCAAAACCACTGGATTCTTGCCAGATGCCAGCTCATGACCCAAACATGGCAACATCATGTACAACACCGACTGTACCAGGTGTGGGAAGTGCCAGGCAGGGAAAAGGGCCATGGTGAAGCAAAAAGAGACAGATTGGCTGTGGGAGTCAATCCTCATATCTCTAGAAAGGGACAGCAAAAAGGAGGAGTGCCCGATCCACTGGATTTCCACGGGATACCTAGAACCAACATCAAGGCAAACAAGATGCACAGTTCATGCTATTGTTTTTACGTCACACGCAGATGGCGTCACTTGTTATAACAATTGGCAAAAGGGTTCCCTAAGTTGAACATGGATACATCGGATGAAAAATGCAGAGGTGGAGGCAACTCACATGCCAATACCACATGGATTTCGCACGCCCCTAAAACTATTGCTGAAGACGACTGCATGTTGCGTTGCTTAGCAATCTGTTCAAGTTGCCTGGCACTGGCAGATTGTGGGTCATTTACTAAAGTCCTGGTGCTGTTGGTTAAAACCTGTACAAAGGACTGTTTGGCAAAGTCTTGGTCAAGGCGTCAACGATTGCGCATTTGAGCGGGCCCATCTTGCCATGGTTTTACCATTTTCCAGACGTTGAAACACGGACGTCATGTCTAGAGAGGAATACTTTTCGTCCAAAACCACTGGAGCTAGCGGGACCCTTGGTTATGATGTCAAGGACCTGTTTGGAAAGATGGAGACCGGTTTCACATTTGGGATCTCAACGCCATTCAGTTCAAGCCACCCTGGTCAGACATACATGATTTTTTTTTCTGCATGACACTCACTGATTCAAGATTCTGACGCAAGCGTGCAATCCTTTTTCAACTGGGGGTTGCAACGATGCATTCAGCTCGTCTGGCTGTGGGTGTGGCAACCCTTCCCAAGTGATGGTGGTGCAAGGGGTCGGAGGTGGGCAAATCAAAGCCAGAGATCAAAGGAGATCCCGCCCTCCCACCACTTGAGAAGGAAACAGCGTTCGTTTGAAGATGCTTCTTGCACTTCACCGCACAAATAAGAAAATGTCACACGTGACCTATATTTATTTCTGCATGACACTCACTGATTCAAGATTCTGACGCAAGCGTGCAATCCTTTTTCAACTGGGGGTTGCAACGATGCATTCAGTTCGTCTCCCCAATTTTTCTTTTGTGAATGCAAGCAGTTGTATCACCTTCTGTAAAGCCTTCGTAGAATCATTCAAGAAACCGCTGTCAACTAAATTCTTTATGTATCCCCTTGAAGGTTTGTCAGCCACATCGGAAAAAGAAGCAACACGCGCGAGCCAGCAGTTGGCCTGTATTGCAACTTCCAATTCAGAAATACTGCACAAATTGCATCAACTGTCAAATTGTCTGAAGTTCCCTTCATCAAGCAAAATTTTGTTCCTTCGTTGTCAACATAAAGTTTGACATAAAGGAAACTGTTCCTGAGATTCAGCTCCTCAGTCCAGACCAGATATGCCAAAACTGCACAGAAAGTTTCAGCTTCGAAAATTATTTGTTGCTTGTTCATCTCGCCTAAAAAGGCTCTTTGTTCAGCATCCAAGGAACATGAGAAGAAGCGTTTGCAGCCAGAATATTTGTCTATAAGTACTGCGCCTAGGCCGCAAACTAGGTCACGAGCATCTCGTTCATAACAAGCATCAGTGAAGATAACAAGAGGGTCACGTTTGTCCCAGGTGATAACTCGAAGTTTTCCCATTTCCAACATCTTTGCAAACAATCTCAAAGAAAGAATCTCATGATCCACAAACTTTGTTCGCTTTCTGCAGCAAGCATCTCTCAAGGCTTTCAAACATCGTTTTCCTGTGCGCCCACACAGCTGTGCTTCAGCAAACAGCATACGCCCTCGCAATTTTTGAGCGTCAGTCAAAGTAATACCACCAGCTCCAGTGACACGGATAATTTCAGCTACAATCTCTTCAGCCCTGGAGGCGGTATTGGAGATGTGGGCAATACCAGTGGAAGACGCCTGCAAGTTGAAAACAACTCCTAAAGCATCACAAGCATCGCCGAAAGGAATGCACTTTCGCCCTTCTTTCGCAAAATCCCATCCAAGTAGCTCAAAAAGAGCAGCTGCAGTTAACTCAGAACTTCTCACCAAATCCGGCGTGCTGAAAACTATATAGTCATCAAGAAAAGAAGTCCACATCAGTAAGCAAGCAACCGAGCCCAGCCACCAAATGGATCTCGCAAGTCTGAGGAATGAGTGCACGCTCTTCACCGCTCCAAAAGGCAAAACAAGTGCCTGAAAGTATGCCCATTGCTTGGTGTCTGGGTTATAGACTCGTATATAGGCATACCGTCTTCCTTGTTCACTAAGACCAACCTGTCTGTAGGCGCTCGACAAATCAAAGGTGTGCACCTGGAGTGCAGTGTTTTGTGTGACTTCCCCGCGGCATTGAAACCAATACGCCGGAGAAGCTGCCGCAACATCAACTGTGTGGAGAGTTGGGGATTCATGCACTGTCACTGCTTGATTTACAGATGACTCAGAGAAGTCGTCTATTAATCGCACCTTATGCTTCTGTTTGAGCCCAAAAACGCTTTGACACCGGTGCGTCATGGGGTATGTCATCTGCAGTGAAAGGGCCGGATAACCATCCTTTGCGACATTCATCCATAGTTTGGTTCCAAACCTCCAAATCAACTTCATGGTCGCCCGAGCTTTTGTGATCCCTTTCAATAAGGGGTCTTATCATTGCAGATTGCTTGCGCAAGGATTCCTCCGTAAGAAGCACCGGGCTGAACTTCACGGGCAACATTTGAGTAATGGCAACATCTCCAACTAAAGAAGCTCCTTGCACCAACTCGTCAACCACTGATTTGTCAGGATATCCATAAAACTCCAACATTTCAGAAAAGAGAGCAAGCTTCTTGCGCTTGACAGCATGGTTAACCAAAGGATCCATTTGGCTTCTAATCTCTTGCTCTTTGACCTTCAAATCCTTTGCACGCTGATTCCAATAAATAAAGAAATCAGCTCTCTTGCGCGCGACTTCAGCAGATGTCAGCTTTGCCATCTGACCAATTGCAAACCTCAATTCATCTGGAAGAGCTCTGGTTCCATCCATAGGGTGAGCCACACGCAAGGCTTCTGAGACAAACTCTTCTGGTTCCCACTGCACACCCAAAATCTTCAAGGAATCGAAACTTCCAGCAAAGGATGAAAAACTGTCCCATGAAAAATCAACCTTCCAAACGTCAAGCTCTTCCAAAATTCTTTCTTTCTGTGTTCTCTCTCCTCCACGCTTACTGTACCCCCAAGATCCAACCGCGTGGAGGAGTTTGTGCTCTGCAGGGATGGCCGCTGCAATTGGCCAAACACGTTGCTTTTCCAAGAAAAACACTACATACCTGTGCTTGTACGCAGGAACAAGAGGGGGAAGCTTCATGGAAATAGATTGGCTCCCGGACAAAGCTTTTGCGGCATGATGTAGTGAAGGTTTATTGTCATTAACCTGCAGCTTGAGTTCCACAAATTTGAGAAGAAAAGCTTGTACAATGGCATCGCACAAAGGTCGAGGGTAATGGACTTCCAGCGAAGTCACAAAAGTTCTTTTGTTTCCTTGTCTAATGATGCCCCACGGCTCATGCTCATGCTGTCCATCACACAGTGCAGAGATGGTGTGGACCTGTTCAAAATTTGCACATAAGCGCGTAAAATCTGGGCGCTTTGAGCCGTACATACGAGCTTGATGATCTTGAAAGAAAAGTTCATCCAAAACTCTGCATTCAATCCAAACTGTGACAAACCAGAAAAGGCTATTCCTCGGGTTCTAGCATTTTTCCATTACTTCTACAGTGAAGGCATACAGAATATTGGCCGCGCTGACACGCTACAGTTCGACCCCTTCAAGGTCTGAAACACCGTCGGGCTCCTCAGGAGTCCTCAAAGGCCTAGGTGCCTTCTCATTGGGCAGCTCAATGAACCTTGCAGCACTTGCTGTGCCACAAGGTGGAGCTAAGAAAACAGCATGCACTGATGGATGCTCAAGCCATTGAAAAACCAATATCTGATCTGCC